GATGACGCCACTGATCGCATGGCATGCAGCCAAGTTCTGCCCAAGATGATGTTGTAAGTGGAGGGGACTTTCAATACCCAGAACTCCACTTGTTTCGTCACGCTTCCTGCTCTGACTGGAAGAATTATTTTGCTAACGGGCCATTCTGGCATGGAGTTGAACCCAATTAGGGGAGATACGGCAGGCGCCAAGTCTTTGTCTTGTTGCTTTAATTGTTTAAATGTTTCGTAGTACATGATTTCACATGAACTACCCTGGTCAACCAGAATCTGCTTGACGTCAAAATCCTTGACTTAGAGAGTGACGACCAGAGCATCATTGTGAGGGCAATATATCCGTTCCAAGTCTTTATCCGAAAAAGACATGACGTTTGTTGCCTCTGTCTTCCCTTTCTTGATGGCAAGTTGGGCACTTAGCACCTTTCTAAAGTGCTCAGCCTTTTTGATTGATCCCCTGAGCTCGCATACACGCTCAGGTTCAAAGACTCCATGTATCACATTGATAATGCCTTGAGGTGGGGTGTCGACTGGCATCCCATTGGGGTTATTATGGTCCTGGGGGGCTGGTTGCGTTCCTCCTTCAATGTATTTATCCAGGTGGCCGGCTGCCACCAACTCCTCCAAATGTTGTTTTAATGGCATGCAATTCTCAGTGCGGTGCCCCTTTTCTTTGTGGAAGGTGCATCGCGATCTTTCGTCATAGTCTTTCTGTGCTTCTCCTAGCTTAGCTGGCCACTTGACGAAAGGCTCATCGCATATTTCGCTCAGAATCCGATAGATCGGTTTCTTGAATACTGTGGTTATGGCCGTGCGGACCCTCAGCCATCTTTTATCCTAGTCCTCTCCGTTGTCTCGCCTGCCACGTCCGTTTCTGTTAGGTCGATCTACCGTGTTGACCTTTGCTGAGGTCTTCTTTTCTGGTACTGTGGTCGCGCCAGATTTTGCTTTGGCACGTGCGCCATCCTCTTCCACCCTGATGTGCTGATGCACTCTTTCCATCAAGGCTTCCATGGTGAGGGGTGGTGTCATGGTGATTGAGTCCCTTAGTCTATTCCCGACTAGTAGGCCTCTTTTGTATTATGCAATAGCGAGATTGGTGGGGCAGTCCCCAATCTGATTGAATGTCTCCCAGTAGCGACTATTGTAAGATCTTAGGGTCTCTTTATCGCCCATGTCGATGGAGAGTAGCTGGTCGATCTCCACTGGGGTTTTGGTGTTTGTTCTGAACCTTGTGACAAACGCCTCTGCCAATTGCGCCAAGAGGCTATGCTGCCTTCTGGAAGTTTTTCAAACCAAGTCAAGCCTAGATCGCCAAGGCTTGACGGGAAGAGATGCACATTAGAGCCTCGTTTCGTCGATATACCGCCATACTGGCGGAAGTGGCTTAGGTGAATGTAGGGGTCCGTCTTCCCCTCGTACGTAGTGAATTTGGGCTGAAGGAAGCCTGTAGATAGGGGTGCGTTTTCGATTGTCGGAATGAACGGTGAGGTTTGCAGCCTCGCTAATGCCTTGTTCGTTGGCTCATAGGCAGGGTGTGGTAATGGCATTCCAACCTCGACGCTTCCATGCGATCGAGGAGCCAATCGTTGAAGGGCAGAAACTCTGCGAGGGTCGCGCGTGTCCTCCTTCCATCGTGCCTTTTCTTCCAGCATGATCCGCAAATCGGATGATTGGGCAACTCCGTTTGTTTGGATATGCTTGGTGCGAGTGTGAGGGTCGGTAGATACTCCTTCTACCTCAATGATCTCGTTCTCTCAGACTTGGAGTAACGAGTTCTGGAGGTTCCAGACTGAGTATCGCCTGTCCTGAGGCTTCTACTTTCTGCTTGTGATGGCGTTGAATGCCTTCCATGGTCTTCTGAGCGGCGAGGGGGCGTCTTGTTTTTGCACCCCTCTCCTGTCGCCACTCTTTTTTCCTTCATCTGGCGCTTCAAGGCTTCCATGTCGGCCGCCATCTTCCTTATTAATTCGTCTTGTTCCTTCGCGCGGTCCTCCAGAATTTGAGGATCAATCCTCCGCCTTTGCCTGTCAAGACTTTGTGAATGAGAGTGACGGGGGCTGTGAGTCCGCCTCCCCCTAGTATCTCTCCTGGCGTTGTGTCGTTGGGGCTCCAAGTTCGCCATGGGAGGGATAGAAGGTAATCCTTCACGCCTGGCCCCCCCATCTGGTGTTTGCCCGTCGATGGCGGACTGTGGTAATTCTTCATTGTGCGCCATTGTTCCTCAAGAAGTAAAGCTTGATCAAGAGGTTTTGTCCTGTCTGTTATTCCCACAGACGGCGCCAATTGTACGGGAAAGAAATAAACCTTCTCGTATAATCCTGTTAATCAAGTCTGCACTCCTCTGTACGTTGTCGCTTTATCACCTGAAGACACAAACGTGAGCTAGCCGGCGGGTGTGTGCCGGAAACCTTTCCAATGCCTAAGTTAGTAAGCTTGACAAATAGACAAAAGCTCTGTGTATTCAGAAAACAAAGTTGTGTTACCTCTCCAAAGGTGATGTTGTAAGCTTTTATAGGTTTCGTGTGGAATAATCCTAGTAGGACTTCTACTCCTCCATGCAGAGTCCTCCTAGGATTCATACTCCTGAAAGATAATGCTTATCCTTTAACACCTCCCTCACTGCTTAAACCAAGTGAGATGGTTTTATCATGGCCGAACTCCAATATGACCGAAGTAAATATGTCTATGCATAGCCGAAGAGTAAGCCGAACTAACTCTTCCCTTTAATGCTCTTACGTCGACTTCTCATGCACAACCCATGGCGTGGTCAGACCGAACTAACATGTCGAGACTGGTGTAACACCAAGACCGGTCTAACTCCAAAGTACCATTAGACCGATCTAACTTCGATCTTCTGTCAGACCGGACTAGCTTCACGGCCTTAGGACCGGACTATCTACAAAATAACCACACGACCGGAGTAACTTACATGGCCATTTTACTCGGCCTTTTGTACTGCGGCTCATAACGGCCCATTACCTAGCTCGGCCCAATTTTCACATAAATTAGCCTCTCAGAATCCATGTCCAATATGCACAATTTGATGCTCTATTTATCAAACACAAATAAAAGAAAACACAATAACATAGCATCAATTTGGAATCAAGTGATAAACTTATGTAAGTGTAGGTTTACTTATTCACACAACAACTTCATTTCTAATAATAACAGAGCATCAATTTCATAACAGAGCATCAATTTGGATTAAAAAAGATCATAACATTTTTTAACTTAAAATGTTATATTAAAATCCCCAATTCAAAACACAATCTCTATTTGATATGAAAATAAATCACCATATATATATATATACATAATAGATTGTAATAACAAAATATTTTTTTTCATAACAAACCTCAATATATATACAAAAGATTTTTTTTCAACCTCAATATATAACAGATTGCTTATATATATATATATATACAAAAGATTCTTACCAGGTAAATAAGCAACCTCAATGACAATGGTGATAGTGGAGCTACGGTACAACAATCGCGGATGACCGTCGGAGGAACGTCGGAGCAAACGGTGGAGGCACGACGGAGTATTGGTGGAGAGACAGCAGACCCAAACCCTTCCCGCTCACAGACTCTGGTTTTTTTGCTTCAATCGTTTTTTGTATTTTACTTATAACAGGTTGTAAATTTTTTTTATGTTCGAATAAAGATTGATATAAATATAATATAGGTCCATGCTATTCATAAGATGTTTCAGTAGCATAGTGGTCAAGTTGTGTTTTGCACCCCAGAGTTGCCTGGGTTCAAGCCGTGCGAACAACCAAACAATTTTTTTTTTTTTTTATTTAGGGCCAAAACGACGCCGTTTTAACTCACAGCAGTTACTGCTGTGAGTTGGGCTCAGCAGCACCCCCGGATCCCCTCGTAGACTACCACAATTATTATTTTGTCCAAAAAAGTTAATTTCACTAATACCATAATTTTTATGGTATTTTAGGGTTGGGCTTAGGAGTTGTAGAGCCTATCATGAATCTCGTTTTAATTATTCAAATTATTCATTTTATAAGATATTCTGTGTACATCATCCATAATAAAAATTAAGTCAATCTAATAATTGTAACATTTTAATTTTGTTACATTTTTCTTCAAAAATGGGATGGTCTATTTTTAAAATGCTCATTCATTTTTTTGAACACGCACGCGATAAAAGAAAAATATTATGATTATCAAATTAATCTAATTTTTTTTGTAGATAATATACACAAAGGGTCTTACAAAATAAATAGTTCAATTCATCGAAATAGAATTCATGATAGGCTCCATACCTCTCAAGTTGAGATTTTTATTTATTTATTGAGATTTGAATATGAAAGAAATCAAATCATTTACTTAATCCTTTATTTTCTCTATTTAACCTTTTATTTGAATATTAAAATTATATAAATTTGAATATTAAATAAACGATACACTGAAAAGATAATTTATTTTAATTTTGACTTAGAGCATCTCTACTTAAATCATTAATTTCGAGGTGACACTTTTAAGACTAAAATGTGATACTGTTGTGGTCTTTTTGAACCTACAAAATTGAGTTACTAATTAGTATGTCTTAATACTAAATTTGGCATAGCTAAAAAAAGATGTCAAATTTTTTAATTTTCATTATTTTAATAATAAGGACTTATAAAAGATTTGAAGGGGGCAGGTGATGACGAATCTTGATCGAAGGCTCAGCATGTCGTGGAAGTGGTGGTAATGCAATTACGTGTATTTAGGGTTTTTGCTTTGGTAAAGTGTGTTGTGTTGCTGATTTTACCATATTGCCTAATCAAATTTTGTGTTCTTTGAAAATTAGCCCTGGTGCCGTTAGCCAATTTGGACGGGGCGGACAGAGGGGCTACATTGTTGCACCTAATTAACTTGAGGGACTAAAATTGTGTAATTATAACTTGAGAGACAAAAACTTTACAAAGGATAAACTTGAGCGACCAACAAAATAATAAATCCAAAAAACTTATTTAACACACGCAAATTACTTACTAATAATTTATTGAAGTGCAACGGGAAAATAACGCACTGGAAATTTAACAACAGTGAAATGAGTAATTAAAAAAAAAAAAAAAAACTTGTTTGACAACGGGAAAATCACACACCCGTAATTATTGAAGTGCAAAGGCAAAACCCAATGCAACGGGGTACATTGTAAATTAAAGATGGATGGCAAGCATTGAGTTACGGGCGGCCGGCTTTATTGAGTATGTTGTCAATGGATTTGAGAGACTGAATGGCCGTCTGAATATAGTAGCTAAGAGCTCCAACGATGGGAGCAAGGGGATCAGCAGCGAGTTCTTGCTTCTCATCATCGCCCACAGAGGGCAGTGGCTTGCTGGGATCCTCGTCAAATGACTTGGCTTGCTCAAGGTATGCATCCATACGCGGAGTGGAAAACATGCGCACCTTTTCCACATCATCACCTCTTGCAGCGTAACGCTGCCGACTATGGGAAGTCTCCGAAGAGAGTGCATAAGGACGCCCTTGCTTTTCATAGATTTCCTGAGATTTCATCAACCTTTTTATCTGTTGCAGCTCAGATTTCAGCATCTCAATCAACGGGTTAGACTCATCATTAACCACGTCCTCCAGCAAGTTTTGGGCTTCAACGAGCTTGTCACGAGCATTGCCCAGCTTCTTGTCGTCAGCCATGACTCTCGCTTCTTTCATCATCTGTGCAGTCCGGAGACGGTTCTCCTCCATCATCACCTCCTCCCTCTCTGGCTCCACAGATGTCCTGCCGGTGCGGCTTACTGTAAGGATTATCGGATTGGCATCAAACAATTTCCCACCAGAGCTGTACGCGCGTTATATGCATACACATATCCATTATATTTGTCAGATCGATCATCGAGCCAAATAAAACATAATTTATTCTACTAGCTAGTAAATGCAGAGATTTGATAATATTGGTACCACCTGACCTGTATGTGTAAGTGATTTCAAGGACATCCGAGCCCGCCGGACTACTAGCAGCAGGGAGAAGAAGGTCCACTATAACCTTGCGTACCTCTTTAATGTAAAGATTGCCAAATGAAACAGTCACAGAGCCGGCAGCATCGTCCTTGGATTGTATATAGTTTCCAGCGGACACCTTAACGATTGTGGATTCGACTCGTGTGACGGTCAGCTTCAGATCCTGAACAACCACGGTGAGAAGCCCAGCCAAGCACTGGGAAAATGCAATACTCAAGTTGTCCTGGTTTCGAACATCTGAGAAGGTTCCTCCCACGCTGTTGTTTGCGATGGCATTGAGCACCTATATCGAACAGGAATTACTAAAGTTATACTACTACAACTTTTGTAATTTTCTTTTAGAAAAATGCTAACCATCACTCCAAAATCCACAGGTTTTGTATACCGGTTTTCCCACATCACAGTGTTATAAGGAATAAATAAATAAATAAATAAATTATAAGTGTTTGCCCATTCAACCATTACTTGTCAAATCAGCCAGTACACAACCCGAATATAGCAGCTTAGCAGCTTATGTGAAGTGAATGTGTAGGGATCACCTAATTTACCAAAAGAAATTGCAATATAATAACCAAATTTACTCCCTTGTTTCTGCCAAGTATGGATACCCCAAGACCCTCTTGTCCCCTGTAAATCAGTATGAATGAAATTATTTTTTGAAATACAGCGTACCGTCGGATCATGGTCTGTGCCAAAACCGAATGTGCATACGGGCATGTTGCCGACCGGAACTTGGGCAGCATCACCACCTTCGTTTTGTTGACCGTCGGACATAAGCATAATGCCAACCGTACGCCCGCTAGTAAGTCTGCGGTCATTGAGCACTTTTAAGCCCGTTTGAAGGCCAGCAGAGATGTTTGTGCCACCATTAGCAACTAAAGCATTGACCAGCTTTTCAATCTCCGCTTGAGAATTTTCAGTTATCTGCCGCAATGGGCACAACCTGTGGGAGCCCCCATTGAACGTGACAATCGATAAACGATCAATCACGCTAAGTTTCTTGATCATGAATAGCATGGCAATTTTCATTTTTTCTAACTTCTCTCCCCCCATGCTATCGCTGACATCTAAGACCGTCACAAGATCCACTCCGGATCTGTCGTTGCCTGATCCTGCCCCCGTGAGCTCCAGCATCACCTTGAATTCGCTTTCTTCCAATGGTGCCGTCGTCTTGTTGATGATTGTCGCCTTTGTTTTTCCTGCTAGGAATGCTGCAGGTTTTTCCCCTGAAATATGCCATCGTCCCAAAACTCAAACTAACAATCAACAAAACATTCTAGTATACTATAGGAGATATGCAGCCGATAAGGTGCAGAAAGTGTTGGAAATGAACTTGCTACACATGATACATTGTGCAGAAGCATGGCAGCTTCAATGGAGCTTCCATGGTCAAAGGGTCAAAGACCTAGACATGAAGAAGAAGAAGACTCCAGCCATGATTTACAGATAGCTCCAGCAATGCTTTCACACTGGTAAGAGCTTCTACAAATAGCTAAATTACTAGCTTAGATTTATATAAGGAAAATCTCTCTCAGACATTGAGAGATTTGACAGAGGACGAATACTCTGTTTCTTGTGAGCTTTGAGTGAGATACAATTGTGTGGCAAATATACAATTGTGTGGCTTTTCTTTGTAAATTCATAGAGTATAAATGGAGAAACGAAGAAAACACGAACCTGAGACATCTTGGCTTGCAACAATCGGCTCATCATCGTTGAAGCTCATTTTGCCAAGAAAACTGATACACCAATTGAATTTGCTCAACTTTCCTTACTCCCATCTCACCACTTTCAACCTCAAATAAATATAGAGGATACAATAGTCAAAGAAGACTTTTTTTTTTTTTTAAGGCCTGGATATGACAGCTCAGGTTTTTATTTTTTATTATTGTCATTATTATTTTTTGTATTATTGGAGTCTCCATTGAATTGAAGGGTGCAATCAATTTCTTTTTAAGGCCTGGATATGATAGCGCAACTTGTTTTGTTTTTTTCTTTTCATTTATTTTCCAGCATAGGGAAGGTTGAATTGAAGGGAGCAATAATACGATCGGGTATTAGGGGTGTCTGCGGTTCAGTTTGGGACGGTTTGCGGTTCGGTTTGGACCCGCCCGCATCTATGCGGTTTGGAAAAAAGTCAACCCGCAACCGCCCGCAATGCGGTTTGCTGTTTGTGCGGATAGGGTTCGCGGATTTGCGGCCGGTTGCGGCCGGTTTGCAGATTAAACTTTTTTTTTCAAAAATTTATTTTTAAACCTTTTTTTAATTTAAATTTTAATAACAGATTTAATTCCAAAAATTAAATAACAGATTAAATAACAAATTTAAATAACTAACCTCACAAACTTCTCTTGCGGGTAATTCATTACTTCAGCTTACATATGATACAGTGTCCAAAATAGATGATCAATCTCTGAGATACTAAAAACAATTGGGAGATTCTTGATACACCAAATTGCTACCAGTACATCATCCAGAGACTGATGAATGTCAATCCCTGGAGATATATTATGATAAAAGCTCCCTATTAGATCATCTCCATTTTTTCACAACTGCAAGCTAACTTGTCCATCCCGTGCAGTATAAAAACCTGATTTATAAAGAAGAGGTCATAACCACATTGAAAGAATCACAGCTACTAACAACACAGAAGCTCCTATGATTAAAAAATGACAATGAACGAGGTAGAAACCATCTTCTTCAAGGCAAGCAATGATACATTTAACCATCTTTCACCAACAGTTTTATGGTAAAAATATATTTCTACATAGCAGGTTCATTAATTAGCACATCACATGTTCATGAAAGAGACAGACGATTTGTAGTGATAGGTAATCCGCTGATATAAGTAACTATACTGTTAAAGCAAGACAAGCAGATAAAGCTACATCAAGCAGTTCTAAAACCCAAATTGGAATAAAAAAAATGACAAGTAATATATATTTCCCCAAGGTTCCAAAGTTAGTATAAGCCATTGGCATACTAACAACCACTTCCAACAGCAAGACCCCACTTTTTAAAATTCAAAAACCTAAAATAAAGAAACAAACATATATAATGACATTTGTTTTTTCCTTGAAACTCACCATCAAACTTTCCGAAAACTTTAGAACAACAAGCATTTTTCAATGATACACTATTCCTTACTGTTTTGCTTCACTAAACACGCGCACAAACAATTATTCTTTTTTTCCTATTGAAGAAATCCAGAACAAAATAAAAGACCCTATGATTTTATTTCCATGTCATTTTATTTCCTACATTTATTTTTAAAAAATACAGTTCCTGGTAATGGAATCAAACATGCTATAAGAACCGAAAACCTTCAAATACAGAGCCAACAAAAAACTTGTTCACTTCCAATTAGCAAAAAAAAGGGGGGGAAATGAAAATTTCACTCTTTCACCATCCTATATATAATCAAAAAGACTAAAATTTCCACAGTGAAAAGCAAAATTTCAACGCAAATAGGATACGAACACAGAATCAAGCAAATGAATATAATAGAGACCAAAATTGAGAAGAATTCAACCGAAACAAAGCAAAATTAGGACATAGAAGTATAATAATTGGAGTAACAAGTGAAAAATGGAAGCATTAAGCAAAGATAGAAGATGAAGATTGATGATACCAAGGCACAGAGTTTGAGAGAAGACTTGGAGCTTGTAATTTAATTCCAAAACACACAAACCACACAAACATTCAAATTTAATTTTCAATTTTTATGAAATTAAATCCTAATCATTTAAAAAATCACTCTAAAGAATCTAGAATCATAACTCAGACCTTGATTTTTAGATAACAGACATATACTCTTACCTTTGATCTAAGATCAAACAGATTCAGATCACACAGAACACAGATTCAAATCACAGATTCAGACCAAAACAAACACAGAACACAGATTCAGATCTGTTGGTCCAACAAACACACAAAACACAGATTCAGATTCGATCGAGGCGAGAGAGAGAGACAGATTGAGAGAGATAGAGGCTTACCCGTGAGTAGATCGGTGCGATGAGAGAGTGAGACGATCGGTGCGATGCGATTCAGACCAAAACAAACACACAGAACACAGATTCAGATTCGATCGGGGCGAGAGAGAGAGACAAAGATTAAGAGAGATAGAGGCTTACCCGTGAGTAGATCGGTGCGATGAGAGAGTGAGACGATTGGTGCGATGAGATGAACAACGAGAGAGTGAGAGAGAGATAGTGATGAGATGGAGTGATCGCTGATCGGTGCAGAAGATGAAGATGAACAACGAAACGAGAGAGTGAGAGAGACAGCGACGAGATGAGATGAGATGAGACTGAGAGAGTGAGGTATAGACAACAATTAGGGTTTTTTCTTTTGGTTGTCATAGATGAGGTGAGTGAGATGGTGAGAGATGGACGATTAGATTTGAAAGGGGAAAAAAAAAAAAAAATTAATGCGGCGGGTTGGACGGGTTCGGGTCAAATCCGTAACTTGTCCGCAACTTGAAATTTGTATAAAATTTAAACCGCACTCTATTTTAATGTGTTTGTGAAATTGCCCAGACGCGTGCGGTTCGGATCGGGTAGAATAGCTTGGCGAATAGCTTGGGCGGTTCGAATAATCTTACGCCCAACCCTATCGGGTATACACCAATTAATGCACATTTTTTTTAAAAAACAAAAAAACTTCAGACTATTTTTTATTTTTGTATTTCATGTTTTGTGCACTGTTTCTTACTCTACTCTCCATTAACCATTACTTTTTTTTTTTTTTTTTTTTTGCTTATAATCATTTTTTGTTTATGCAAAAGTTTACCTTAAAATAATGTGGTAGTATCATTTGTAATAAAAAAAAATATGTCAATGAACTCTTTATTTTAAAGTGATAGATCAAAATCTAACCAAATCGTTATTAATAATTTTATTGTATTGATTTGATATTTTTATATTACTACTCCTTTCTTATTTTTACTTTTAATATTTTGTGACATAATGATATGTATTAATTGACCAATGGTATGCCTAATAGTTTTTTGTTGACATAATGAAGTTACTGCCATAATTACAACACTACCCAAAAAAAAAAAAATAATTACTCCTTCCGTCCCAATTTATTTGTCCCTTATCAAAAATCTAACTTATTAAGGAGACATGCAATCATTATATTTTAATTTAGATTTTGAAATATTTTTTCCACCATTGCCTTTTTATTTGAATTCTAAAACATGTTTATAATGATTTATATGGGGCAATTTTGAAAATATAATAAAAATTAGCATTCCAAAATAGAAAGTGGGCAAATATTTTGAGACAGATTAAATGGAAAGGTGGACCAATAAAATGGGACGAAGGGAGTACACTTAATCTATTTTTTCAAAGCTGCTAAATATGCATAAATATGTACTTTTTAGGGTGAATTGCGCTAACAGTCCTTATAGTTTGGGACTCGTGTCACTTTGGTCCCTAACTTTTCAATTGTGACATATTTGACCTTGAATTTTGAATCTTGTTCCAAATAAGGACAATTGAAAATACCGTTGTTTAATTTCAAGGGCAAAATCATCAATTTAATAAAATATAAACTAAATTGACAAAAATAAATGTCAAAAAAATATTTTTAATTTTTTAAAAATTATTTTTATCCACTAATGATAAAATTATGTAAAATTGATAAACATTAATAAAAATTACATGATTAATTTTTAAAAATTAATTTTACATGATCATCATCCAAAAACATAATAAAAATTAATTTGGTAAAAAAATAAATAAATGTAAAAAAAAATAAATGTCTAAAAGATTTATCAATTTTACATAATTTTATTTTTAGTCGGTAGAAATAATTTTTAAAAATTTAAAAATATTTGTTTTACATTTATTTTTGTCAAATTAGTTTATATTTTATCAAATTGACGATTTTACCCTCCAAAAATCTAATGATATCTTCAATTGTCCTTATTTGAAACAAGATTCAAAACTCATGGTTAAATGTGTCAAATTGAAAAGTTAGAGACCAAAATGACACAAGTCCCAAACTATGGAGACTATTAGTTTAATTTGCCCTACTTTTTATTATGGAAAGGTTAATATTAATGATGTATGTTTACCAATTTAAAATATATTTGCATAAACAAATTGGTCAAGTGACTCCTTTTTTTTCTTTTCTTTTCTTTTTTTTTTATTTTTTCTTTTTTTTTTTTTTAGATGGGGTCAAGTGGCTCTTTAATTTGTGTTGATTGACATAAATCTAACATGGCAGAGATAGCTCGATCATCTCATAAATTTTTTTAAAAAAAATTTAATATCCTTACATTTTACGGTCAGCTTAAATTTCTCATATGCTATCAATTGACAAACCAAATTTTATTAATATGATAATATTTTTCTTGATCTACTTATTGAAATAAATATAAAAATTTTAATATTTCGTTTCAATTTTTTTACCACATCACCTTAAAAATAAAGAGAGATAGAAGATATGTGAGAGAAATGAAGAGAGACAAAAAGATATGATTGTTATATCAGTTGACAAATTGTGATAGGATGAATTATAATTACGAATTTCATAAATAATGTAATTATACTTGACTGAAAGTAGAATTTTTGTAATTTTAAAAAATTCATTTGTTTTAATTTTACCAATTGAATTATATATTTATTTTTTTGATGAGCGGGTGTCCAAACCAACTTACGCACAACTCGACTAATATTATATATCTATTTGATGATTGCTCTTAATAGATATTACATATCTATTTGTTATATAATATTTAGGACAAAACATTAATAGCAACAAAAAAAACAAAAAAATAGGTAATTCGTGCCATCTTTAGGATGTTATATTTTTTATTAAAAAGTCAAGAAACTAAAGAGTGTTAAAATATGTTGAGTTAGGGGTTGGTGTTGTGACACCTATGGCGTGTGTCTCAAATCTATTTTAATGACTCGAACAGTTCATATTGTAAATTTTATCGAATAGATCATTCATGAAAATAATTAGAATATTTGCGCTTCTGTAACCTATAACAAAATCATATTTATTTTCTAAAAAAACAAACAATTAGCATAGTTCTAATAATTTTTTAGAAAACAATTTGGGCCTAATCATAGGGCTACACATCCAATTAATCTCATTTTTTATATGGACAATATATATAGCGGCTCATGTTGAGACTCGACCCTTTCATATTCTTTGGTTTGGATTCTAGTATCTATTATTGTTGTCTATATTTATTCGAGAAATTGTTGCTGATTGGAAGTGAAATCTTGGATTTGGTTGATTAGGTTTTGAACAGGTTAAGACTTGGTATTTCTGACAAACTCTTGTATGTTTGTTCTTGGGTTCGCTTGAGCAGTGAATTGGTCGCTCGAGCAGTCTTTTGTTTCTCTCAAAATGAGTGTTTACAGACTAAACTTCTAGGAGCACACCATTCTTCGCTCGAGCAGTCTTTCTTCGATTGAGCGGTCTTGTGTAGTCTGAACTTCTAAAAGGGGGTCATTATTTGCTCGAGCAGTGTTTTGTTCGCTCGAGCGATCTGTTCGGCAGGGGTAATCATCTAGGAGTTTTGTTTTCTTCGCTTGAGCTAAGTTTTGGTCGTTCAAGCGAGATTTTGTGTCTGATACTCAAGCGATATTTTGGTTGCTCAAACGATCTGTGTGTATAAAGTTGTGGGGAAAATATCTTCTTATCACTATTCTAACTCCTCTCTCTCTCTCTCTGTAAAAAGCTCCCAAACCCAGTTTTTCTTATTTCTCTCTCTAATTCTTGCATAAACCTCCCTATTCACTCAATTTACTAATCTCGCCACCTTAGTGCTTTGGGATAAAAGGTAGAGCGCGAGGAGGTGATCCTTTTAATTTGAAAAAGTTCAAGATCCGTAACGCACTAGGAAATTGCCTTCATAAATCATGTTCACTTGGGTTTACCCAATATAGAAATGTGAAAGAGAAGAGTAAATCAACAATAATAATAAAATAAATTCCAAGACTACCTCTTCCCATTAAACTATTCCAGTGATTACATTATTGTTTGTTTACATCTATTGGCAAACTAAAAAATAGTTCAAAAGATAGAAAGTAATGTAAAGAAAGAGCCAAAAAGGAAAACATCTTCTCAAGGAGTGTCCTTGAATATACAAAAATGAAATTCTAGATTTCCATATAGAAATAGCCTGAGGCTTAAACATAAAACCTCAAAAGAGAGCTTCCGCGACCCCATCCAAAAGCTTTCCCTAAGCCAATCATTGAAGTAGCGCATCAACATTGTTTCATAAAAGTTGGTTAGTTTTGGGGTGAGCTTGTGCCTAGTAGGAAATACATTTAACAAGTTATATAAATAATCGAGATGCATATGATCAGGCCATGCACTTGTTAGGATAAAATTCATATTTCCTCTTTTAATGCCAAAAGTGTTCAATGCATGATTTTCATTCAACATCTTGTCTACAAGTATGGGGTGGTAAATACGCTATGAAGTCCCAAGCAAGAGCCGCAAAACCATACATACATATATAGATTTATATACTGAAAATATTTCCACATTTGCTGACTCTAAAAATGGTGGAGCGATGGGCCTTGACTCCCCGTGCGGGTACTAGATACAACACACAACTCAATTCCCAAAACCCAACTCAACTACCCAGACTCATACGTTATTTACCCCCTTTGACATTTTCCAAACATCCACAAGGTGGTTAAATCACATGAGAAATTATGATGCACATGATGTATGAGTTTTCAAAAAAAAAAATTCCTAAGGTTTGTTCAATCCACAACAGCATTAATAATATCAACAACCAACAGATTTCTCCAATTTCACAATTTCCACAATCTCAATACATATACCCAAAGAGCTTCAAAAATCTCATATCTTAACACTGTTTCCATAATCCTTCACCCAATTTCAAGATTTAAGAGTCAATTTGGCCAAACCCATTATTAAATCAAATTTGAAAACTAGGGTTTTTGAAAAAAATTTAGGACTTTTCCCTTCTTTACACATAAAGAGTCGATATTCACAATTTCTTACCATAATCAAGATGGATATGCACAAATTTTTCCAACACATGGGGAAAATCCCTTTTTAGTCAACAAACCCACTTTATATTACAAAATCATCTCATACATTGCTATAACTAAGAAAATATCACATATATATCTCAAATCAAAAATATATTAAGTTAAAAGTACTCCTACCTCAAAATGGTAGCTAAGAGTTGAAGACCCAATAAGAAATTTGACCCAAAAAAAAAAAACCACAATCCAATCAATGAGAATATTGAATCAAACTTGCTCTTCACTTTTCTTGAAGGATTTAAAGTGAATATTCAGTAAAACTTGAGGAAATAAAGTGTTTTTAGGGTTAA